GGGGCAGCTGAGTGTGCATATGGGAGACACAGGGCAGCTGAGTGTGCAAATGGGAGACACAGGGCAATTGAGCGTGCATATAGGAGACACGGGCAGCTGAGTGTGCATATGGGGACACGGGTAGCTGAGTGTGCATATGGGGACATGGGCAGCTGAGCATGGGAGACACAGGCAGCTGAGCGTGTTCTAGAAAGTACTTAATGTGACCGATACAAAGCAACAAGGAAAGTAAGGCACAACAAGGATGCTACGCGGTTACACTAAAACTCAACTTGCCTGAAAAATGTCTTTGGGCAACACGGAGGGAAGTGAGTTTTGAAGAGAGAAAGACCTGGGTTCAAATTCTACTTCTACCTCATGGTTGATGTACACTCTAGGACAAGTTATGTGACGGGCCATCCCCCAGTTTCTTCCTTTGTAAAATGGGTAGAGCCAGTCTTGGTCACAAAGGCAATATGGAAACTGATGCCTGCAATGGTGGAAGCATGAGTGGTTGTTATCGCCTTACTGATAGCTGGAAGAGAATCACTCTCGAATAAGAAATCCAAAGTTGTTTCTTCATTATGAAGTAGGGATGTCAGAGTTTTGCCTCTTAAAGTTCTTCCGAGATTTCATTTCCTAATTTATCCACCACCGAGCCGGCACAGTAAGCTTAGTTTGGCTTGGTCTGCCTCGCTCATCTGTCAGCAAGATTCTAACATTCAAACTGAGTTGACAATTGCTGAAGGTGGAGGAACAAAAGAGGCCGTGCAACAGCATCAGATTGCACACCTCAGAGGGTTTAAGCGACCAACGAAAACATCATATCTCTGTCAATCAAGAGCAATTATAGCGCTTGGTGGACCCATGCAAGTAAAACTGTCAGTTACGAAGGGGTCTCCTGACTCTTTCTCTGACTACAGCTATTAGACCGGCTTGATTCTATGACCTGTGGATATTTGAGTGGGACTTCCTTTTGGACAGAAGGATAGACTGTAAGACTGGGAGAAACATTTGCTCATTTTTAAAATCCTGATGTTATTCTCAGGATATATATATATATATATATATATATATATATATATATATATAT